CTGGAGTGGACTGCAGTTTCCACATTGTCTTGGTCCCATCAGTTACCCTAGCAGGACTCGAACCCTGATCATTATTATGCACGTATAATCTTGGTACGTTGACCACCACGCCACACCGGGTCACAGAACAAATGTGAATATCAAAAGAGACCAGGCATTTTCTCACATCATATTCTGTAGTGAAAATGCCGATGAAACAAAGTTTTATTTACTATAGCTTTATAATGTATTAATTATTTTTCTTTTATGAGTAGGTTATCGACTCATTCGACATATTAAACGAAAATGGGTTAAAACACACCATATATATGTGATTTACCCGTAATTTTGAAAACCTAATTATAAGCATAAACGAAGTCTTAAAAGCTGACAAGCTCTATCCTATCTGCTATATATATTCATATCTAATAGATATATATAGATATATAAGTTATCTTGTCATTTTATTAACTTAATTTCTCTATAAAAGTGAATTTCATCTCGGATGAAATATATCGTTTGCTGGGTGAAAGCCTAGCCCGGTTTCACACGAAACAAGAAAGAATTCCTCGTGGACTGCGTCAACATGAATGTCTTGTTAAGGCCAACTGCAGAATTATAACGGACCTATGATTCTCTTCATCTCTTCATCCATATTCATACTATATTAAAGTCTTCAGAACAATAGTTTCTAGTTTTTCTTTTATATGTAGTCTTTTTGAGACAATCATTCGATGATATATATGAGAATTCTCCTACAATAGGCTTGCTTTCCCAGAAGGATTCTCGTTTAGGATGACCTCGCCTGTACAGGTCTAACCAGCACCCCCAGCGGGACTCGAACCATAAGAATGCTGAATTTCATCTTTACACGTTAGACACCACTGCACATTGCCACAAAGGCCTTCGGCTCACAGGGTAGATGTTAATTTTAAGGAAGTATTTTACCATACAACATTCAGTTGTGGGATTTTCGATAGAGCAAAGCTATATTTGCTAAGGCATTCAACCACATTAATTATTTTATATTTGTAAGTAGGTTTTCGAAACTACCAGTACTGTTGTAATTCGACTGCTGCGAGGTGGAAACTGCAGCTCACTCTAGATGAGGATACCTTTCGGGAAAACAAGGTTATGTGAAGTTAACAGAGAGCGTATGGTCTACTCGTGTGATAGTAGGAAAATTCAGCCTAAACAAAATAGTGCGAATACACCCCATAATAGGTTCTAGCGACTGGGTTGCATTCAACCATTTTGGGGGCATTTTACAACTTCAGCTGTCTTTAGACCATGATAATGCTTAAATGTAGAGCTTGATCAGTTTTGCCCTAACGACCAAAGCAAAAAAGTGAGCCGAATCCGGTCAGCCTTGCCTACCTCTACCGCACACATCACACTAACTTGAATTCGAGAGAAGTGGTGGTACATAATATATGATTTCCCTTTTCGACCGCAACCTCTGTCCGGCTTGAATAGCCAGTTTTTCGGCCACTTTCCCGAGCAATTACCAGCTTCACACGAAAGACTGCCCAGCCTGGCAAGACCGACAAGGCGGCTGCCTAGCAAAGTATCCTCCCAGAAGAGCCAGGCACTGATTTGAGCCATTCCCTCTGCATCCCTCGAAGTGATGATACCCACCCATACACAGACACGAGTTAAGTGGGCAAAGGGAGAGCAAGAGACTGGGCGATGGAGGTCACGTCAACAGTTCACGACCAGAAAGAGGGAAGACTGAAAAGCACGAAAACACACCCACAAGTCTCCAGGAGACGATGAAGAGAATTGTTCTATATTGATCTCGGCAGTATGCCTCGTCTACGGCGAGGGCAATTGAGTCTGAGCTGTTAACTCGATCTGTCTCCAACCATCCTGGACTTTGTGTCCCTGTGTCGGTCTTTCGGAATGGCCGGCCCGGCTGGGCATACTGACTGACGCATTCACGATGCCCTGGAGTTGTCAGAGCCCAGGACAAAAGGGAGCGGCTCCGAGGCAGGCACACGAACAGGCTGGCCGATTGTCATGGGTTAACACCAGTTTCGACTGGGTTCTCATTGGACTTTTAACCATTCTGCTCACGAGGCATTGAAAGAAGCCTTAATTTTTGTATTGAATTCCCATTTTTCGTGAATCCCAAAATGGCTCGACTGGTCACGATTTCAATGATTCCGTGAAGGCGGATGAGATGCCGACGCCAGGTCGAAACCTCAGTCCTGCCCAGAGACGGACTATAGCGAGTCGGGTCACTAGGTCGAGTGGTAGTACAGCCAATCGAAACCGGCGGCCGTGGCAACTGACA